TAGACACAGAGTGTGTTGTTAGAGATTGACAAGCAGGCTCTGCATGCACAGCGAACCACTAATCAAAATATTGTTCTTGATCAGTTTATCAAACAACCAAAGCAGGCAGCGTTGAAATGTTGGTTTTGATAAATATTTCATTAAATGCTTAACCTACTATTGCTTGACCATGTTAAGTGTACATCAGCCCATCTTGCAGGTGTAGAACTGCTCTGTGTCGTCTCCTTGCAGCAGCGCTGGTAGACATCTGAGACATACAGTCTGCTCCACATTGATGTCTTGCGTTTGCTTTAGTGAAACATAAGAAAAAAGGCTAAAATACCAACAATATATATTTACACTTTGCTGCAGACTGTGCTCATTGTTTTCTCTATATTATAGGGATGTCCCAAATATACTGTATACTTTTGTCCGAGCAAGAGTTCTTTGCAAATGCAAGTCCAATCCAATACTTTTTTATTCAAATTTTAAATAATATATACCTGGCACACTGTTATAATGCAGCTTTAACCTAATACATTCAACAGACCTTATTTTACACAAGCATCTATACATCCCAAAACTGAAAATCCGTTCAGTAATTTAAGATATGAATGAATATTTATCATGAAAAAATGTGACTCTTGACTTTGAAATCAAGAAATATCAATCTGCTGAAGCTACTAGTTGAGTGTTCGGTATCCTGCTCTTTGCTAGAAAAAAAAGAGGAAGAAAAGAACAGGGAGACAACAGGTCTGTTGACAGTTAGTTACTATCCATGTTTTGTCAACACCAGGTGTCGGTCACTTGCACCAGTGTGTTGAAATAATTCTTCACATTCACACAATCTTAATTTTCACTCGCATTTACAAGCAAAATTGTTGCACTGTAGGCTGTTATAAAGTGGAGTAGCACTGTAACGCTAGCAGGCTGAGGTGGATAAAAACTAACATGAGTACAGTAAGAAAAGGTCAGATTTTTTGGGTTATTTCTGTCTATTCTGATTCAAATCTGCTCGAATGTGCCCCAGTACTGATCCTCAGGATCTGCTCAGGACATAAAATTTACCTGAGAATGCTTTTACAGTGGAGAAGAGATCTTCTGGGCACCAGTCCAATTCTCCTGGCATCTCTCTGGCGACAGCTAGCAAAAACACATTATGAAAAGTATAACAATTAACAATAAAATCAACCTAATTACATAGCTCTAAATATGTGCACTTTAAGTTACCTGATGTTACTGGAAAGGAGCTGGCCATCTTTTCTGAAAATGCAGCACAGAATGTTACTAATGTGCATTTTGAACCTCATCAGTTTCTGAGTGGAAACTCTACATAAGATCAGCCTTTATTTGTCTCACAGGTGTCTCACATACAGTCGTTGCAAGAGAGAAAACAATTCCCCACTCATCCTACCTTACCTATGAAATGAAGTTAAAAACACTCTCAAACACTCACTGGAAACAAATCTAAAATTTCAGATAAATAAATCATATTCCTGACATCAACATGAGTGAAGTTTGGAAAGAATGATAAAGTCAGTCTCTATCAGTCTCTCCTTCTCCTGCTGCTGCTGCTGGTAGACAGGAGCTGGTTCAGCCAGCAGCTGAGTTTATATGTGCAATATTTTAATGTACGGGGTAAACTAAGCTAAACTAAGCTAAAGTTACTAAAGACAGAAATCCTTAACTTCAGCTTGTTTGTAACAATTAGCTATTAGCCGAATCAGCGCTGTGCTTGTGTAAAACTACAACACAGCTGTGGTGGATGAGAAACTGAGCAGATTAAAATATCGGGCTCTACATGTTTATGCTAAACAGGTGTATTGATAAATGTTTTAATAACCTTCCAAACTGTCGTGATTTTATTTTTGTGTTGCTTTCTCTGTGCTGAAGTTATTTTAATAAACTTGATGGTTTTATCCAGTTTGTAATAAAATTTTTGACAAACTTCATTGTGTGTCTCTTAAAGCAAAGCCTATAGTTTTTCATTATATTCCACTTAAATCTGATGTTCATTAATAAATTTTTCTCATGGATAGTGGTTAGTAAATAATGATGCGTCTGCATCACTTTGTAGATACATTAATGTTTGTAAATTATGTGGAATAGTGAGTCATAATATGAGAGTGACAAACAATGTTGCAGATTCTTTCACAAAATCACTAGAGGGCAGTCAGTGTCAAGTTTCTAAAAGGAGACACTCAGATCTGCTGTTCTCATTGATCTTAACTGACACTTGAACTCTGGACTGAACTAAAGCTTAACATGTACACTGGATACTGTGATAGTTGATACTTTTCTACCCTAAACAAAAGTCATGTGTTAACTTGATTCAGCGCATTTTGAACTGAAAAGTATGGCAGCATATTTATTGTTGTATAAAAAAAAAATTTATACAACAAACAACATCCCGACAACAATTAACCACCTAGCATGATATCTGATTAAGACACAGATAAATGTAAAATGTAGTTATAATCACAGAAAGTAACATATAAATGCGTGAACTACTTTAGGTTTTTCTAATATAAAAAAATGTTTTTTGCATTTAGTCACACAGGTTTCAGTTCCTGAGCAGCTGTTTTCCTCCTGAAACGATGTCTTTGACATCTGCAAACGCTGAAATTATTCATCTTCGTCTTTTATGCAAACCTTCAAACCAGCAGCATCAGACTTAAGTTTTTATACCATCTACATGATCCCGGCTGCTGTCACTGTATTTGTATTTGCAACAATATTATTTTAATGAATATGTTTTCCATTATCCATGATTCATGTTAATATTTCCATTAAGAATAGTTATAATGAAATAATGTACAATGAAATTAAAACATCATATGTAAAGCAGAGGTGATTTCCAGGTATGTTTTCACTCTGCAGATATAATAACAGTCAACAGACTCTTCTATTGGCTCCAGTTAGACCAACATTGATGCTTCATGTGTTTGATTCTATGCAAACTCAGTGACCTTCCTTGTTACTCAGCTATAAAAACTTCCCATCAGGCTGTCAGTGGAGTTCACAGCACGTCTCTTTCAACATAAACCATGTTTTCTGTAGCTCTGCTGCTGCTGTTGGCAGCTGGATGTGAGTCTCTCTGGATTTGTCAAAGTCAGCAGTTCTTCTTTTGCAGTATAACTTGATCATTTGTTATGTGATAGGCAGGCTTTTGGTCTAATAAGGCCACGGTCGGTTGCAGCTTCTCAGTGAAGCTCCACCCCCTTGTCTCTGTAGAAGCAGGCACACACCTCAGCCTCTTTAAGAGTGGATTTAGATTTAGAGAACAGAGATGGCGACTTAAGTCGCACACACAGTGACTTCAGACTCGACTTGAGACTCGTCCTCAAAAGACTTCAGACTCGACTCGGACTCCAGGGTTGGGACTCGTGAACAATGTTTATTTTTAGGAAACGTCTGATGAGCTCTTCGTTATTCCCAGTTTTATTTAGTTATAACTTACACTGGGTTTGAGAGTCAACAGGGTTTGTTGACTTACAGTAGTTTATAAGCTTATAATAAGTCATTAATTGTTGACACATTGTACATTAGGCTACATAGTTGTGCTCTGTAAAGTTAAAAAACAGGTTACCGGTTTATTGTTTATGCAACGTCACAGTTTTATTTAGTCAACGTTACACTGGGTTTAAGAGTCTAGGGAGTGTGTTGACTTACAGTATTTAAGAAGCTGTCAATAATTGCATTGCACATTACATGGTTGTGTTCTGTAAATGGTTACAGGTTACAGTTACAGAATTCCATATAGCCATGCAGTTTTATTAGCAACCTGGATTGAACGCAGCAGGTGATACAGCATTCGTAATAACCACGAGAGACTTGAGACTTGACTTGGACTCGAGCTCAAAGACTTGTGAGCATCTCTGATACAGAACACTCAGGATCTCTCTGTAGGCATTGTGTTCCAGTGTGGCTAGAGAGCAGGTATGTCTTGCAGAAGTTATGAGTCAAGGCTGACAATGTTTTTAACTTTTGTGAACATGTTTTAATTTGTTTTAATCACAGGTATTTTAAGCCACCTGTCGTCCAGACCTCGTCAGCTGAATAGCCTGTTGTGCTAAAGTTCACCACAGAGAAGGCAGTGGTGGTTGTTGATAACCCTGAGGTAAAAAGATATTGTCTAGTAGAGCTATGCAAGTTTACTAGTTTGTGTGCCTTTTGATAACATGATTTACTTTGCAGTGGGCCTAAACGTCTGATCCATAAACGAGGTGGAGTCAGAGCTGGGTTGACTATTTACTGCATTGTTTGAGGTAAAGATCATCTGTCAGGTATTTAGCAGGTATGTTTTTGTAATTTTAGGGTGGTATAGCCACTGATGCTATTCGTGCTTGAATTTTTATGTCGATTCTTATTTTATTTGTTACAGGTGGATGGGCCCCTGTGAATGTGTTTGCCAACTGCTAAGGTCTGCTAAGGGTGTGGCTGTCTTCCCTTTTTTTGGCTGTGTGATTTCCCTCAGCTTGTTAGCCATTTCTTCCCCTTTTTAGTGTTCTGCCAGACGGACAGGGTGGTGGATTGTGGGAACCCCTTTCCCCTTCACTGCATGTGGTGGTGTGTATGACAGCTGTGTGCGCATGCTTAACTTAGTTTTATTGTGTGGCATTTGTGTGTATCTTGCTGTGTTTAGGTGGCTGCGCACCAGTGTGAGTGGTGGTGTCAAGGCACCTGGGTGGCCCACAGGTAACCCCCCTGCAGGTCTGGCTCCTGTAGATGCTGAGGTGTTTTTAACCGTGTGCTTTTATTCCTTAGCATTTCTGGCAGTATTGGCATCTACATCTTATCTGTTTTTATTGTTTGCGCTTGTGCAGCAAATAAAATTGCCCAAAGCCTCATTTTTTTTAATTGTTTAAATAAATCTTCCTTCCAGTCGAAACCCATGTCTCTGAATTTTATTAATTGTGGGGAAACCCATGGCAACTGGTAATTAAATATTTGGGGATTTGAACCCCTCACTATTTGCCTCGGTTACAGTTAAAAAACATATTTACTTTCTTTTTTAAAAGGTGTGAACAGTTGACACAGCCAGCTTCTGTGACTGTGCAGCCAGGTCAACGTCTGACCATCACCTGTCAGGTCTCTTATTCTCTTAGCAACCATCACACAGCTTGGATCAGACAGCCTGCAGGGAAACGACTGGAGTGGATTGGAAGCTCACGTGTTGGATACTCTTCAAGCTACATAGATTCCCTAAAGAACAAGTTCAGTATCTCCTTAGACTTTTCCAGCAACAGAGTGACTCTAAACGGACAGAATGTGCAGCCTGAAGACACTGCTGTGTATTACTGTGCCAGAGAGCCACAATGACACAAACCATCAGGAGACCTGAACAAAACCCCTCAGTGCCTGAACACTTGTTGATGGGGGGTGGTGATGGCGTAGTGGATAAGTCACATGCATTTGGTGTGAGAGACCCGGATTCAAATCCACTGTGAGACACCAATGTGTCCCTGAGCAAGACACTTAAAGGTTCAGTGTGTAATATTTCTGAGGATCTATTGACAGAAATACAATATAATATCCATAACTATGTTTTCAGTGGTGTATAAAGACCTTCCATAATGAGCCATTATGTTTTTATTACCTTAGAATGAGCCATTTATATCTGTTATATGTTATATATGTTTCTACCATAGCCGACAACGGACAGCTCTACAGAGCGCGTTTCGTCATCACGGCGTTCTTCTTCTGCTTGTATTATTCAGTGCAGTGTAGACGCCCATCACTACATTAAATGCATCTGTAGAAGAAGAGGGAATAATAATATTAACAACAATCAGCAGTCTCTGAGTAGTCTTCTAGTTTATGAGAAGCAAGAACTGAAGTGACATTTGGACAAATGAACGAGCACACACGTGTTATTTAGCACGAGAGCCGACAGCCTGTGGATCTTTATACCATGAAGCCAGATGGAGTCCGAACAGATACAATCAGCTAACAGCAGAAATCACCGATGTTGTGGATTTTCCCAGATAGAAGGCTATAATGTGGAACAGATGTTTTCAAAGCAGTGCTGAAGCTGTCTGTTGTGGACAGGTAATTAACTTAGGTTTGTCAAACTTTAGATACAAATGAAAGCTGTTGTTTGATAACTATAGCTTGAAACTGGCCGTAATCACAGAGAGCTGTCACGTGTTTCCCCCGTCAGTGGTGTGAAATATGTAGTTGTATTAATTTCATGTCACCCTCTTATTCTCCAGCCTGTGGGTTGGCTTTGCTGGTTACCAGACAATCAGTAAATAAAACGTAACGTTAGCTTAAAGCATGAAAGCATCAGCCAGCTAAACTTTTACTGCCCTGGTTGAAAAATCATGTAAGGTTAGTTGGATTGGTTTATTCTCCAGCGCTGTGCTTTGGATTGTGGTGTAAAATATGTAGTGTGAATAATTTCATGTAGTTACTCTCTCTCCAGTGCTTTGTTTTGGCTGTCCCTTAAGTTGGTGAGACAATCGGCTGATCACTAATTGGCAATAAAACGGCAGCTTCCAGCTGGAAGCTCAGATCAGACATCTAAACCTTTACTGCCCTGCTGGAAAAAAAATATTTTGTTGGATTAGTTTCATGTAGTTACTCTCTCTCCAACGCTCTGTTTTGGTTTTGTTAGTTGGTGAGACAATCAGCTGATCACTAATTGGCAATAAAACAGCAGCTTCCAGCATGGAAGCTCAGATCAGACAGCTAAACTTTTACTGCTCTGGTAGAAAAAATATGTAGTTGGATTGTAATTTCATGTAGTTCTTCTCCAGCCTCTGTTATGGCTTTGTTACATGGACAGAAATGTGCCCTTACCTTCGTCAAACAGCTGATGAATATTGTTGTTGTATAAAACGGTAACAGCAGGGAAGCTCACATCAGCAGCTTAACTTCACATTTTACTGCCCTGGTGGAAAACAGTAACTATTCAGTTAAAAAACACCACCAAGTACGAGGAAGACAGAACGAACCAGACGTGTGTTTTTATTTTGCATCATAGAAACTAGTGGAAGGCACCAGGCGGGAGGGCATGAGACGAGAGGCTCCAGGCTGCAGCCATAAAGTCTTGGCAGAATTGCATAGTATCCCTTTAAGAGGTGGGTACTGTTATAAGAGTTGTTGTGGGTTATGTTTGAGTTGTATTTTTCCCTGTGTTTCTGATTTTGCCATTGTTTCATGTGTCTTTCTATTTGCCTCTGTTTCTTGTGTTCCTTGTCCTTAGTTATTGATGTCTTGTCCATCCTTGAGTATTGTCGCATGCTTTGCTTCCTGTTTTATTTTGTTATCATCAGTGTTTCTCGTCTAGCTTTGTTCTTGTTCTGTTAGTTTATTTTAGTCTTGTTCATTCTATATTCAGTTTATAACCTACCTGTTTTTTGTACTTTTTCTTATGGATCTGTTTGCTTGTGTTTTTGGTTTATTCTGTATTCTGGTTGACTCTGTTTTGGTTTCATGGTCTGTCTGGTTTCTACGCCTTCCTTTTTCAATCTGCCCTGTTCACTCTGTCTGTCTGCGTGCCTAATTAGTTCCTCATGAGTCTCACCTGTGCACTCCCTCCCTGATCTTTTGCCTGTGCATTTAACACTAGAACCGCCAACGGGTCAAATTTACCCGCAGCTGTTTTTTGATTGTATGTATCTTTGTTTCGATATAATATTCAAGTCCCCCAGTCTCTGGCTTTTCCTGTGTGTTATGTAGCACCCCCTGTTGTTAAAAAATGTCAAGATAAAGCCAGATTTTAAAAATGGGCATTTATACCTTTAAGCGCCAGCAGGTAAAATTGATAAAATACAGTAATTTTCATGCTGTTCATGTCGTAGATTTAGATAAACATTCTATGTTGCTATTGGCAACCCCTTTCCCACTACAGGCATTACACTTGCTTTATTTAATTGTAATTTTGAATATTTTTATGTTTTTAACACAAACACACACACGCTTACTGTTTTATTTATTTATTTAAATTTTTATTATATTTAAAAAAAAAATTAACACACACATTGACATTGAGGCTATTATTATAGCTGCCTATAAAACACTACAACAGTCAGTCTTTTTTTGTAAATTGTATGCTGCATTTAAATTCAAGCTGTGTTTAGAATATAACTAGGTTATAACATCTATGACATCAAAAGAGCTGTGAACGTGCCCTTCACAGATGCGCAGCGCAAGCGATCAACCTGCACGGTGAAGACAATGAATAGAATGGAATAAACTTTTTGTCAATTCCTGAAATATGGGGATGGTGTTTATAGGAAATGCACAGCCAATGTGCTAAATCTTTCCCAAAGTGTGTTGGAGCAACATGTAGCAGAAATAATCACAAAATCACTGCATTTTTATAGCGGGTAGATTTTACCCGCTATGGTGTTATAGGTATACAATGAACCCTGGCGGTGAACCCTCAGTTCAGTTTTGTCTATGTGGCGTCCTTGTCGTTGGATGTTGAGTGTTCTGCTTGCTTTGTTCCCAGTTTTTGGATTACCCTGAATTCCTTGGATTTACTCTTTGTTGGATTTACCTTTGTTCTGCCAAGGCTTTCAAATGAGTTATAATTTAGTTTAGGTATAGAGCTGATTAGTAGGTTAGAGTCGAAGATAGCTGCAACTCCACCTCCTCGGCCTGTGCCTCGAGGAATGTGAGGATTAATATGACTGGGAGGGGTGGATTCATTTAGGCTAACATATTCTCCATCACCCAGCCAGGTTTCAGTAAGACAATATAAATCAATATCATAATCTGATATTAATTCATTTACTAGCATTAGTGTTGTCTATACTGTAGTTTGTGTCTGATTTTATTTTATTATAATTTTATTATTGTGTTATGGTATTTCTGTACGAGTAAGCACATCGTGAGCAATGTACAATCCTGAGTCGAATTCCTTATATGTGTACACATACCTGTCGATAAAGCGGATTCTGATTCTGATTTAGAAGAGAGAGATCTGATGTTTAAGAGTCCACATTTAATTCTCCGATTCTTTTGCACTTGTCAACATTAATCTTAGTGACCCCTGATTAGCGTAACCGTGAGTCATTACCGCCAACATGAATAACAATCTTTCTGTATTTACGTTTATCCTTAGCCAGCAGTTTCAAATAAGACTCATGTCGCCCGCTCTGGTCCCAGGGATGCACTTAACTATGGCTGCTGGCGTCACTAACTTCACGTTTCTCAAAATGGAGCTGCCAATGATCAGAGTTGGTTTCTCAGCGGGTGTGTTGCTGAGTGGGGAAAATCTGTTAGAAACGGGAACAGGTTGGTGGTGACCCGTGGGCTTTGAATGCTTACGACTATTCATTCTTCGGACAGTCACCCAGCCACCCCTTCCCGGCTGCTCGGGAGATGACGGGGGCGGCTACCACAGGCTAACTCAGGTTACATGTCCAACTGGATAATTTCTTTGTATTGCCTGGGTAATCATATTATCCATGTACTCAGGAGTTACAATTAATATTTAACAGTTTTCTTAATTTGTATAGGGTTGTAGGGGTTTTCTTTTCCCTAATGTCATGAAAAAGGTTTGACTTATGAACACTTTGTGAGAAAATTAACAGTATAACATGATGAACAACATTTTAGTGATATTTGCTGTTTTTCTTTTAAAATGTATTTGAGTGAAAAAACTGTTGCCATACAGACTTAATAAAAAAGCAACTAACTTATTGAATGTTTGTACACCTATTATTATAGTGAAACATGAAACTCTTGGAGGAATCACTCATGTACAGTAAACACTGATTCTCCAGTTTCATCAAACAGTAACTGAGATCCAAGTCAAATCCAGTTCCTCCCTGTGAGGAGGAGTCAATGCAAAATTCAGATGTCTTCCACCTCTACTTATCTGACTGCAGAGAGGATGACAGAGAACAGTGGACACACAGTTTAACATGATGGACTATAGGACAGGACTGCTGCTTTTAACTGTCTGCTGGGCAGGTGAAGATCTTCACTGATCTTGATCAAATTTTTTTTGTGTCATCAGCTTATTTCACTTGATGATTTTTTATCTTCTTGACAGGTGTTGATGGTCAGACTCTGACAGAATCTGAACCAGTGATTAAAAGGCCTGGAGAATCCCACAGATTGACCTGTACAGCCTCTGGATTCACATTCAGCAGCTACAGCATGCACTGGGTCAGACAGGCTCCTGGAAAAGGACTGGAGTGGGTTGCTTATGTCAGATATGACAGTGCTCTGATCTACTACTCTCAGTCAGTTCAAGGCCGGTTTACCATCTCCAGAGACAACAACAGACAGCAGGTGTATCTGCAGATGAACAGTCTGAAGACTGAAGATTCTGCTGTTTATTATTGTGCTCGACACTCACAGTGACTGGAGTTAGTTGAACAGCTGTACAAAAACCTACAGTACTCCTCTTTAAGCTAGTAGAGACTAAGAATTACATTTTTTATAGTATATAAATCATATTCTAAATGTTTTATTGTTATCATCTTTATTTTTTTGTATTTCGGATTTTATGATTTTTTTTTTTCAAAAAACACAAAGTTGTGTAAACTGTTCTTGTGAAAAATTATTAGTTAGCAAATAAAAAAAAAACACAATAAAAATCACTTGTTCATAAAAGGCCAATGATAGCAAGTATAAACTACTACAAATACTAAACATTTCTACTAAGACACAACAATGTCTGTAAATTATGTGGAATCTAAAGTGAGTCATAATATGAGAGTGAAAATAATTTGTTGCAGTTTCTTTTATAAAATCACTAGAGGGCGTTCGGTGTCAAGTTTCTCTCTCCTCTGTTTCTAAAAGGAGACACTCAGATCTGGTGTTCTCATTGATCTTAACTGACTGACACACACACACACACACACACACACATCATGATATATGATTAAGACTGTTTTTTTTTTTTTGATGTAATCAGCTACATATAAAAGTCAAATGTAGTAATAATCACAAAAAGTAACTTACAAATATGTGAACTACTTTAGTTTTCATCAAAGATAAAATATTTAGTTTTTTGCATTTAGTCAGTCAGGTTTCAGTCCCTAAGCAGCTTTTTGCCTCTGGAGGCGCCAAGTTTCTCTGTATGTCTGTGTCTTCAGACATCTGCAAACACTGAAAGCATTCATCATCATTATCATCAGGTCTTTTATGCAAACCTTCAAACCAGCAGCATCAGAAGTTTTTTTTACTAAGAAAATGATCCTGGCTGCTCTCTCTGTATTTCTGTTTGTAACAAATACAGTGAGTGAGCAAATAAATTACTAAATAAATGCTGCAATTACAAAACACTGGTCTCAGAGGTTTGAAGTTAATCATGAATGTGATGTAGGAGGTGCTGACAGTAAATAAATGATCTGAGGAAAACAGATTGCATCATGTTTAAAGTGTCTTTTAATAATCTATAAACATGCTAGACACACTGTGCAAAGCTGATAATGAATATGTTTTCCATTACCCATAATTCATGTGAATATTTACATTAACAAAAGCAATAATGAAATAATGTGCAATGAAATCAAAATATAATATTTAAAGCAGAGGTGATTTCCAGGCATGTTTTCACTCTGCAGATATAATAACAGTCAACAGACTCTTCTATTGGCTCCAGTTAGACCAACATTGATGTTTCATGTGTTTGATTCTATGCAAACTCAGTGACCTTCCTTGTTACTCAGCTATAAAAACTTCCCATCAGGCTGTCAGTGGAGTTCACAGCACGTCACTTTCAACATAAACCATGTTTTCTTTAGCTCTGCTGCTGCTGTTGGCAGCTGGATGTGAGTCTGTCTGGATTTGACAAAGTCAGCAGTTCTTCTTTTGCAGTATAACTTGATCATTTGTTACAAAACATTTTCTTTTTGAACAGGTGTGAAGTGTGAACAGTTGACACAGCCAGCCTCTGTGACTGTGCAGCCAGGTCAACGTCTGACCATCACCTGTCAGGTCTCTTATTCTCTTAGTGGCTACTGGACAGCTTGGATCAGACAGCCTGCAGGGAAAGGACTGGAGTGGATTGGAAGCGGAGCTGGATCCAGCACATCCTACAAAGATTCACTAAAGAACAAGTTCAGTATCTCCTTAGACTCTTCCAGCAACAGAGTGACTCTAAATTACTGTGCCAGAGAGCCACAATAACACAAACCATCAGCAGACCTTAACAAAAACCCCTCAGTGCCTGAACACTTGTAACATGAAGCCACCAGAGGAGGAGCCCTCAGACCACTAATGACTTCAACACCAGCTCACTGTTACAGAGGGAAAACAGTCTAGAGTTTTTATTATACAATAAAAAAATCTAATTATCCTAATTTCAATTGACTGCAACTGTTTTTTCATTCTAAATTCTGACATTGCAATCATTGATAAGTATGTTTTCCCACAATGAATATTAAATCTTTCAATTAATGAAATACAGCTGACAATCTAGCTTTAAATCCTCATCATCTAACAAGAAACAGATTTCCTGACAGTCAGTTTCTCTTCCATAAAATCTTTACTTACATAAAATAAAACTGATAATTGTCTGAATCAATACTACAACAGTAACTGACACAGTAGTCTTTACCACTTATGGTGATGTTCAATACAGAAACATATAAAACCAAACATTAATATTTTATAGTTTTTTAAACTGGTTTCAGTTTATGTAGTATAAAATTCAACTCGGGCTTAGTTTGAGATGAGAGAGGCAAACAACATAAGATTTCTCCCAAAGGTTTTCTTTTTAGTCCACTGTTATGTTTTGCGTCATAATAATAATAATAAAAGCGGAAAGTGGGTAGAACTTTGACATCCGACAATTTTAATGTGGCTGCAAAACCTATTATTAAAGGTTTGCTTTTCAGATGTGCATTTGTGCTTGTAGTTTGTTCTGTTCGGGATATTACTCATGAATAACCTGAAGTCTAATTTCAAACAATAAAAATCAAAGCACAAAATTTAATTTCTCAGAACAATTCAGATTCAGACGTATAAACCAAATTAATTTGGCTCAAGTCACAACAGTGAGAACAGGTGATGTCCAAGTCCAATCCAGCAGTATCTTCCCTGTGAAGAGAAGTCAGTGGAATTATATCCAACTCCATTATTTTCAGTATCACCTTTTTTACAATACTGATTGTGATTAACTCTCGCTATTGAAAATTCTATGCAGCATTTATTTATCAAAGTGTTTATATAAATACAAGATAGACATAAAAATGAAACAAATGCACAACAACCAAAAACAAAAGGTACAGAACGGCTTATATGATGCAGGAGGGGGGTATACAGCACAGTGCCTATAATAAATTATTTATTCATGATCATAGTGTGAACTTTATCTGTAAAGGGGGAGCTAAGGTTTCAAAATATACCCATATTGGGCTGCTCAGTAATCGTCTGTTTTATGTTTTATAATATGAAACTCTGAAACACATTTCCAAACGTGTTCCCAATTCATTCCAGAACTGTAACCTTATTCAGTCAACAGGACAAGAACACAGATTTACATTTATAATTGAAATCGAATGAAACACATTGTGTGTTTTTTAAGCCACATGCAACACTTTTTACAAAGAGCCAGCCAGGATGTCTGCAATGAAACAAAATAAGTCAAGTCAAGTCAATTCAAATTTATTTATAAAGCACATTTAAAATAAAATAAAGATAATCTTGACCTGGGTAAGCTATCAAATGTATGACAATCATTATCAACTGAGCTGCATCAGTCGACTAGCAGGCAGAGTGGAGAGAGAGAGTCTGATTCGGAGAGTCTGTGGCCGTCACCTTTGGCTTATTGTAACTCCAGCAATTGACCCTTTCATGACTTGGGGAAACCTGCATCACACTACCCATAAATTATTTCTTCACATCTACAATTCACATCTACTGAATTTATAAATCTTATATAAAATGTTTTTATGCACTTGATTTTGGGGTTTTCTGTCACAATGTCCTTAAATTCTGAACAGTTAATCAACACTATTATAACATACAGAAATATTTGTTAAGGTTTTATTTTATTGTTTTTTCCCTAATAAAATATAATTTTAATTACTAATTTGGGGGTATTGTAAAACAGATACATTGTTGTGACAGACATGATACAGACTGTGCCTAATAATAAAGCAACCAATAAATAATAATAATGTGTTCATCAAAATGAGATTAAACATTTATAAACATTTGTAAACATTTATTTTCCAGTTTCAGCAAACAGTAACTGAGATAAAAGCCAAATCCATCTCTTCCTTGTGAGGTGGAGTCAATGCAAAACTCAGATGTCTTCCACCTCTACTTATCTGCCTGCAGAGAGGATGACAGAGAACAGTGGACACACAGTTTAACATGATGGACTATAGGACAGGACTGCTGCTTTTTACTGTCTGCTGAGCAGGTGAACAAAATTAAGATGAAGAACATAATGTAATCTTTTGGTAAGGTCAAATTTTGTGCCATGAAAATTCATTTGTGAGTATGTTTAAAATTGTTACTTGTTGGATGATACTCTGATAAATCTGACCACATAATAAGACAGAAAATTCAACTTTTGAAGACAATTCATATCAAGCAAATTTTTTTATTGCCTAAATTACATTTATTTGGCTGGTGTTGCAACTCATACATTATTGTTTTTCAAGTCCAACAAACAAAAGGCCAAACTCTTAATGCAAAATCTAACTATCTTCAACCTTCACTAATCTGACTGCAGAGAGGAAAATAAACCTTTTATTTTTTACTGTAACTTTTGTTTTACACAACATAACAGTGTTTGTGTATCTGACTGAATTAATCACAAGGACATGGTTACAGTTTATAAAAAGAACATGCTAGCAAAGCCGCCCTCAACGTGTTGATGTAGTTTTGTTTTTTTTTTTAAAACAAACAAGTAGCAACACCTAATAATGCTCTATAGGAAAGCAGGAAATGCATATGCATGGAAATAGTGACTGTGACTAACTTTTGAAACTGAAGACAGTTAGCTGTGTGTAATAAAACTAAAACGTGGTACTGGAATATTCAGTGAAAAGACACAAATATTTCTTTATACCAGTTACAATATGTGTGGTCTGTTGTGAACGTGAAGATATCGGCCTGGGCTAACATTAGATTCCCAGGCTGAATTATTATCCCAGTACGGCCCTGTGGAACAGTAATATGCTTATTGATGTTGATTTGACATTTATGTTGATATTTTACAAGCATTAATATACTCACCAAACACTATCAGCTCTCTCCTCCCTGTGAGGAGGAGTCAGTGCAAAACTCAGATGTCTTCCACCTCTACTTATCTTACTGCAGAGAGGATGACAGAGAACAGTGGACACACAGTTTAACATGATGGACTATAGGACAGGACTGCTGCTTTTAACTGTCTGCTGGGCAGGTGAAGATCTTCACTGATCTTTATTTAATGTTTTCTTGTAATGTGTCAGTTTGTTGCATGTGATGGTTTTCCTTGCTGTATTAACAGGTGTTGATGGTCAGACTCTGACAGAATCTGAACCAGTGGTTAAAAGGCCTGGAGAATCCCACAGATTGACCTGTTCTGGATTCACATTCAGCAGCTACAACATGCACTGGGTCAGACAGGCTCCTGGAAAAGGCCTGGAATGGGTTGCTTATATCAGTAACGGTGGTGGCAGCATCTACTACTCTCAGTCAGTTCAAGACCAGTTTACCATCTCCAGAGACAACAGCAGACAGCAGCTGTATCTGCAGATGAACAGTCTGAAGACTGAAGATTCTGCTGAACCTCCACCTCTGCCTGCCACACCTGCCACACCTGCCAGCAATCAACCTCATCTCTGCCAGTACTTCAACCCTGGTTCTCCACACAATCTCTGCTTGATCGTTGTTGCTCCTAACCTGGTGCCACTTCTTCACTCAAGCCCGTGCATAACCTGCATCATCTTTGTTTCCCTGTTCTTGGTTTTCTCTGTGCCTAACCCAGTCTGTCTTCCCTCCAGGTTCACTCACCTCCACCCTTCGTTGTCAGCTGGGCTCGCCACCCTGCCCTCTCCTCTCGGACCCCCTCCGCAGCGTCTTCCAGGCTCTTCCCCAGCCCTACTTACTCCTCGGTCCCCCGCGCCCGTGTTCCCCCGGCATCCACCTCTCCCTCACCTACACTTCCTCGACACCTTTTTTCCCCTCAATAAATCCCCTTTCACCTGAGCGTTGCTTCTGGGTCGTCTCTGTCCAACACACCATAACAATAGGATTTAAATAATGATTGTGTTTAAACTGCAAAGAAATATTTATAAATATATAAAGAATCCTGAGAGTAACTACATTCATTTTAGCTGATGCTTTTATTCAAAGCAACTTACAATGGTGGATGTTTCACAGTGGGAATCGAACCCAGTTCTCCCACACCAAAGGCAAGCATCTTATCTATGCACCATCACAACCCAGTTGATGCAATTAAACAGCAATAAAGTTATTTGAAAAGCTCTAGTTAGACCAACATTGATGCTTCAGATATTTGATTCTATGCAAACTCAGTCACCTTGTTACTCAGCTATAAGGCTGTCAGTGGACTCCTGGAAATGGAGTGGATTGGTTTAATCTATGGTGACAGTACCGGGGGGGTTCCTCCCCAGGAGTTGGCCTTTGCCAAAACTATTCCTGATTCCTTTTCCCACAGAATGGCTGAGCCACTCCCTTCTCTCTTTAGCCGATGTGCAAATGTGATAAGCCAGAAATGCGAGAGGGGGGTACAAACAACTCCTGCCTTGAGCTAAAACAATGTTTCATTATAAAATGTTTTGTTCTGTTTAAATAGTAATCCCTGCTA